ACTGAAAGTTTTCACTTTAAAAGTCAGGCACAAGACAAGGATGTCCACTGTCACCACTCCTATTCAATACAGTTCTGGAAATATTAGCTACAGCAATTAGACAAGACAGAGAAATAAAAGGAATAAGGACAGGAAAGGAAGAAGTAAAATTATCATTATTCATGGATGACATGATACTCTACACAGAAGACCCCAAGAACTCCACCAAAAGGCTCATGGATTTAATAACTAAATTCACAGCATAGCTGGATACAAAGTCAACACTCAAACATCAATAGCATTCCTGTACACAAACAACAAGCAGACTAAGAGAGAAATTAGAGAAACCACACCTTTCATAATAGCATCTAAAAAATGAAATGCTTAGGAATCAATCTAACAAAAGGAGTGAAAGATATATACAATAAAAAATCACAGTACTCTGAAAAAAGAGATCAAAGAGGATATCAGAAAATGGAAAGATATTCCTTGCTCATGTATAGGAAGAACCAACATTGTGAAAATGGCCATACTCCCATAATTGTTGTACAGATTCAGTGCAATCCCAATTAAAATACCATTAGTATACCTCACAGATCTAGAGAAAACAGTTGTAAAATTCACCTGGAACCAGAAGATGCCTAGAAGAGTGAAAGAAATCCTGGGCAACAAAGGAAAGGCAGGAGGCATCACAATCCCTGAATTGAAAGTATACTACAAAGCTATTGTGATAAAATCAGCATGGTACTGGCAAAAAAACAGACCTGAAGATCAATGGAACAGACTAGAAGATGCAGACACAGATACAAACACAATCAGTCACCTTATCTTTGGCAAAGAGGCCAAACACGTTCACTGGAAGAAAGATAGCCTCTTTAACAAATGGTGCTGTAAAAACTGGCTTTCCACATGCCGAAAACTCAAACTAGACCCATGTCTATCACCATGCACTAAACTAAAGTCAAAATGTATCAAAGATCTAAATATCAAAACAGAAACACTAAATCTACTAGAAGAGAAAAGTAGGTAAATATCTCAAAGACATAGGAGTAGGCAGAGTTCATGAACAAAAATCAAACTGCACGGGTAATACTTCAAAAAATCAACAACTGGAATCTCGTCTTATTGAAAAGTTTCTGAGGCTGGGGATTTAGCTCAGCAGCACAGTGCCTGCCCAGCAAGCACAAGGTCGTGAGTTTGATCCTCGGTACCGGAAAAAAAACAAAAAAAAAGAAAGAAAAAGAAAAGTTTCTTCATATCAAAAGAAATCACCGAGTAAAAAGAAAACCCAAGAAATCGGAAAAAATTTTATCCAAGTGCCCCTCTGTCAAAGGACTTCTATCTAGAACATATAAAGAATTAAAAAAAAAATCAGGCCCCAAAATTCAAAGACCCAATCCAAAAATGGGCATCTAAGATGAACACACTTCTCTAATGAAGAGATACTAATGGTGAATAAATATATGAAAGAATGTTCAACATCATTAGTCATTCGAGAAATGCAAATTAAAACAACACTGAGATTCCATCTCACCCCACAAAGAATGGCTATCATCAAGAAATCAACCAATAACAAATACTGGAGAGGCTGTGGGAAAAAAGGAACACCTCCACTACTGGTGGGAGTGTAGACTGGTGAAACCACTGAGGAAATCAGTCTGGAGATTCCTCATAAAACTAGGATTAGAGGGGCTGGGGATTTAGCTCAGTGTCAAAGCACCTACCTGGCAAGCGCAAGGTTGTGAGTTCGATTCTTGGTACCAGAAGAAAAACAAAACAAAAAAAAACAAATAAAGACAATTATTTAAAAAAAAAAAAAGTAGGATTAGAAGCCCCACTTAACCCAGCTATTCCCCTTCTGGGTATTTTTCCAGAAGAATTAGAAATATCATACCACAGCAATATATATGCACCCATGTTTGCAGCAGTGCAATTTGTCATAGCTAAATCTTGGAAACAACCCAAATGCCCATCTACTGAGTAATGGATAAAAAAGATGTGGTTATTTTTATACAATGGAGTATTACTCAGCTATAAAAAAGATAAACTCGAGGCTTTTATAGGTAAATGGATGCAACTAGAGACCATACTCATAAATGAAATAAATCGGACCCACATGTGTAAACATCATATTGTCTCCCTAGTATAAGAACATGAAAGAGTAAATAAAACCCAAAATGTACAATAGATAATACGAAAGGGAAAGAAACTGCTCAAAGGAAGGAACAACTGGGATGAGGGAAAGAAGAAAAAGAAAGTACTAAGGCATTTTATACATATATATATATGTGGATAGCTGGTATAACTGTACTGCTGATATCTGCTGGTTTATTTTTTCGTTTTTCTTTTTTTTTGGTACCAGGAATCAAACTCAGGACCTTGCACTTGCCAGGCAGGCACTTGTGCCGCTGAGCTATATCCCCAGCCTCTGCTGGTTTATTGAGGGGAACAGTTAATGATTAATTTTTTTTTTTTATATTTTGACCAATTTTGCATACTTGTATCTGGTAATCTGAGCAACTTATGTGAAGGTAACAATCTGCAGTATAACAACCATTGGTGAATTTCTACAATCCTGTCTAGTGAAACTATGTATTGTCTCTAATGTTCTTTGAAATTATTTTCTTATTCCTTTTAACAGATTGATCAATCTTCTATTCTTACATCTGGTAATCTGAGCAACTTCATTGAAGATAACAATGTGTAATATAACAACCACTGTTAATCCCTATCATTTAGTTTGAAACCTCATAGCATTTTTAATGTCCTTCCTTTGTTTTGTTTGTATTTTGCTATTTTTTAAAACTATTCTCTTTAAAATAAAAAAAAGAAAAATGACAGTCTAAGTAGGTCAGATGAAGGTGATTTTTCTTAGTATTTTCCTTTTCCTTTCCAAAATGAAAACTCTTCTTCCCTTGGCAGTTCAGTTACCTAATACAACCTGTCACCAATGGAAAGAAAATTAATATGATACAATGAAACAGAAAAAGAATCAAATGAACACAAAAAAACACATCAGCTTTACTGGCAAGTTCCTTAACAGGTTAAACTGTACAGTAAGAGTAAGGGTCAGGGTGGCAAATTCACAAATCAGAGTCAAAAACAGTCAATAAAATGGGATATAACAAACTACTCTCATTTACAGATATAGGCTTCTAGCAAAAGCCTGTCACATAAGCATAAATGAATCAATCCACTGCACCAGTACTTTCGACTGTCTTAAGCATGAATGATTACAAACGCAAGAATCTAAAATAAAACTGTCAGTGAAGAGAGATTGCAAATAACTCATGGATAAAATTTTGCATGTAGGAGGAAGCTAAGTATATTGAAGTTAATGGAACTGGTCACAGTTTGTTAATGTAAATACCACAGAAATCTATTGCAGGGTTGGGGATTTAGCTCAGTGATAGAACAGTTGTCTAGCAATCTGGAAGCCTTTTGGTGCCACAGCACCAAAAAATAAAAACTAAAAATTCAACTAAATAACAAAACAAAAAAATCTATTGCATACCATGTATCAACAATAAACAGAAAATAAAGTATTTAATAACATACCATTTGTAACACTATTAAAAATATGAAGTACTTGAAATATATTTAACTTAAGTCAGGAAAGATGTTCAGAGGAAAACCATACAGAAGATTATAAAGAAAATCTAAATAAATGGAGAGAAAATTAGTGCATGGAGAGATAAATTTACTGCATAATAAATGGAGAGAAATTTACTGCAACCCAAGTAAAAGCCCAACCAGCTTTCTTTTATGGAAATAGACAAGCTAATTATTGATTAATATAGAAGTAAGATTAAAAATAATGAATATGTAAGTTAAAAGAGGAAAATAAGATGTGGGGTCCCGCACTACCAGTTATTAATAATTTGCACGAAGCTACAGGAATTAATACAATGGTATCAGAGATGAAGATAGAGACAAACAGTCCAACTCTACATAAGAAAATCTACTTAATATAAGGCAAGAAGGCCAGATGTCGTGGTGCATGTCTGTAATCCCAGTACTCAGGAGGTTGAGGTAGGAAGATTGCTGAGAGTTTGTGCCCAGACTAGGCTACAAAGTGAATTCCAGGCCAACCTGAACTGCATAGTGAGTCCCTGCCTCAAAAAGAAAAGAAAAGTAATTAATGAAAAAAATATATACGGCAAGAAACAAGAACAAAATAATATACAGTTGTACTGTATACTTTAATAAAGCCAAGAAAATCAACGAAAAAACCATTAGAACAGTAAGAGAGTATGTACTCACTTTGTCCCTATGGGGCATGATAGGAAAGTACTCGTCTCAATTTGAAGGGTCAAGAAAGACTGCCTAGAAGAATGACAGCTAAGCTAAAATCAGAAAGTGAGGGTGAGCCAAATGCAGAGGAGGACGGCGAGTGTTCCATGCAGGAGGGAACCTGAACACAGGCTCAGAGGTAAGAAAAACTGGGCCCAACAGGAATAACGCAAACAGCTACAGGACAGAACTCAAGAGAGCAATCAGCCACTACAAGCAGTGAACAAGTCCTGGCACACAAGAGGCTGCACCGCAATAAGGTGTCCAGACTTCTCTCAAAGGCAGTGGGAGTCCTGGAGAACTTTAAACAGGTAAGCGATACGGTTACATAGGTTCTTTAGAAAGACCATATCTTAAAAGGACATTAGGTTCAGGTGGTGAACAGGAGCGGAGGAGGGAAGACTGGAGTGGGCGGGGCGGGGCGGAGCTAAGAGCTGGGTGGAGGTGATGCTGGCCTGCACAGTGGCAAGCGCGGTATGAGAAGACAAGCACAAATGCAGCACAGATCGTCGAAACCACCAGTCAACGGAGTTTCCGACTGACAGATGTCGGAGTGGAGAACTGCGGAAGTACCCAAGAGTGTTCCTATACTGCGGCTGACACATTACCTTAGACAAGCAGGTCTGGGGTAAGATGACAATACCAGTTCTGGACAAGCCCAATGAGGTCTAGAGATGAAGATCTCCACTGCCCTTGTAATCAGGAAACAAATCCATAAAAAAACTCACCTGTTTTTGTCAAATGAAGTCCTAGCCAAGCGTGACTGCAAGATAGCTGTTATCTAAGAGAAAAGAACCATTTGAAAATATGGATAAATAAAATATACAAGTTAATTCACCATCAGAGACTCAAGTCATTAGAAACACTCACCATGGCAGTCTGGTCACCAAGCTTGTCAAGGCAGGATGCTCTGTGAAGCTACAGTATCGTAAGCACACATAATTAGTTTTTCTCTGAAACCACACCGAGTATTTCTTCAGGAAAAATGAAAAACATCAATTATTCTGGCACTTGAAATAGTCAAGATTACTTCTGATATGATTTTTTTCTAATGTAGTTTGCAAGTTCTATATATTCAAGCAAATCTGCTAGATATTCAGAAGAGATTTATGGTTTGATAACACGAAATGAGGAAATCTTTTTTAAAAACCATTTCTGCCTCAGACTGCTTTGAGTTCTCCTTCTGGTGAGTGCCTCCTAAGTCACTGGCTTACCTGAAGCAATGTCTCCACCACATCTTCTACCTTCCCTGAAACATCCAATTCAAAGACATACTCCATTTCACCCTAGCAAAAAGGAGAAGACATCAAAACAAGAAAAGAGAAGCAGAACACACACTTTGTTACTTTAGGGCCTTGTGAACAGCACCTGTGAAGTTCTTCATGTTTCTTCTAATGCTCCTGGAATGAGTGCTCTAGAGAGTAAACCTACAGGACTCATTGCTATTTTTTTCAGTGCTGTCCACTAACTTTGGGCTGAGTATGCTCTTCTTGTTCTAATTCCTTGAAGTAAAGAGTTATGATTTTTATTTTGGGATCTTTTATGATGTACACATTTATTTTCTATTGTTTTGTTTTGTTTTGTTTTGTTTTTTACAGACAGACTCTCATTATGTAGTTCAGGACAACCTTGAACTTGCAGCAGTCCTCCTGCCTCAGCCTCCTGATTGCTGAGATTATAGCCATGTACCACCACGCCTGGCTCATATTTATCTTTTTAAACTTTCAACTTATTACAGCTTTACTCCCATTAATCATTGTAGTTTTGTTTTCTAATTTCTCTTTTAGTTTCTTTGATTTGCTGGCTGTTTGAGAATGTGTTCAGTGCCACATATCTGTGAATTTCCAGTTCCCTGCAATTTTTCTAGCTTCACTGCATTGTGGCTGGAAAAGATACATGATATAATTTCAGTCTTCTTAAATTCCTTAAGACTTGTGTTGTGACCTAACATGTGATTTGTCCTGAGACTGTCCCATGAGACTGAAAAGAATGTGGTCTTTGCTGCTGTTGAGTGTAAAGTTCTGCATATGCCTGTCAGCTGCACTTGTCTACAGTGCTGTTCCAGTCTTCCTGTCACCTTACTGATACTCTATCTGCATGTTCTGCCCGTTGCTGAAAGTGGGTTATTAAAATCTACTCTTCTGTCGATATTTATTTCTTCAGTCATGTCAGTGTTTGCTTCATAGGAGTATATTTAGGTGTTCCGAGGGTGGGTAAATATATATTATAATGGTTTCTTCTTCACACTGAGATATCACTCTTCTGCTTTCAGACTCACACTAGATCTTACACCACTAGGTCTCCTGGGTCTGCACTTCTCAGCCTCTATAATCACTTGAGTCAATCCTTATAATTTCTCAATCTCACACACACACACACACACACACACACACACACACACACACACACAAAGTCACACACTATTGGTTCTGTTTCTCTAGAGACCCTAATACATACATTTATAATTGTGCAGCTTGCACTTCAGGTGGGTCTTGGGGAGTGAGTCTCAATTTGGGGTGGTGTCCACTGTCCAGTGGCTTTTGTCAGCGTGTGGAGGTGCTGTTGCAGTAAGAAGGGAGCAGTACACAGAGGCATTCAGTAGGTGAGAGAGGCTGAAAGAAGGGATGGCCCCATATGGTGAAGAACTGTCCTGCCCCAAATGCCAACAGCACAGCCTGAGAATAATGAACCCTCAGTGTTTGTGTCTTCTGAGTACCCAGTGCATGCATGTGTTCCCTGTTTGTGAAGTCCAGGACCACTGCATGTGCGCAATGAGCTGGAGGCTGCCTGCAATGGAAACTGTAATTCAGCCTATGGGATAACGCCTACCTAGAGAGGGGGGCTATTCCCAATTCACAGATGTTCCTACAGGGGACACTAACTCTGCCCCTAAGTCCTGTGAAAACTCTCAGCAGGACTTTTCTCTTTATCATATAGTAAGTGGAAGCATAAAAAAATAAAGCGCAGAAGAATTAAATGAAGTAGTATGCTTACTAGAAAAGTCCTCAGCAACCAGATATTATATTCAAGTCCTCATAGCTTCAACTCAAATAAATACTTATGAATTACTGAGGATATAAGGATATTTTGTAACCTGTAAATATTTTTCAAATAATTTAAAGTGTTTTCAGTAATATACGTACAAATTCTCAGGAATACCCAGTAACAATGCATATGCTTATTTCAGCTTTTAATCTAATCATAAACACTTTTTCCCCCACTATGCACATTTTTGTAAATAAAAAGCTAATTGAATTCCCTTGGATTAAAGTCTGTGGCTCCCTTGTGTAATTTTTTTCTGTTTGGCAATAAGCCTTTAAGTATCCAAAATTGTTATATTTGCTTAAAGATGTTAATAGAGTCATGAAATCTTATTGCTCAAAAATCACTATATAAATTGCTGGAAATGTATGAAAAACTTCACTTACCCTTTCTATTTTATATGGTGCGACGATATTATGTTCTTTAATAAAATATACCTGAGAAAAAATTAATACTTGTGAAAAATAAGCAAAAAATTTCCCTGTAAAGAGTAATAACATAGGACATTAGGAATTCAATGTTTTTTGTTTTGTTTTGTTTTTTGTCTTTTTGAGACAGAGTCTCACTATGCAGTTCAGGCTGGCCTTGAGCTCACTTTTATAACCCAGGCTGGTCTCGAACTTGCAACGATCCTTCTGCCCCAGCCTCCCAAGTGCTGTGATTACAGGCGTGTGCCAGCATGCCTGGTGCAGGAATTGAAGGTTTTAGATCATTATCACACAACCTCTATTCGGAAAAGTATTTGTGTTAAAGTTCTGATATTAAAATATTAAATTAAAAAGAGAATCATCCAGGCAACAAGATAGCCACAGTATGGAACTAGTGAAAACCTAAAATGTTTTATGAATGTTAACTATTTGTACCATGTAACTAAGCAGACAAGGGAAGGAAGCTAATCTAAGTGCTAATTTTCTACGAGATGATTAAAACAAAGTCACTGTGGTATGAAATGTATTCATTAACATACAGTAATGTTTCTTCCCCAGAGGTGGCCTGGGCACGTGTGTTTTCACCAAGACACCAGGCTTCGTACCAGGTATTAAAATTCTGTTGAAAAAGCAACACTGTCTACCAGAGTGCCAAACTTCCTGCACCTGGGTCCTCACGCCATCTTTCATCTTATTTTAATCGAGGAACTACGGGTTCTCAAAGGCCAGCTGTCCAACTATGCCACAAAAAGTGGGACCCTCCCCACCTGTGAGTCATTCAGTAACTGACCTTCCGTGATTATGCACTCCACTCACTACACTACTGCAACTACTCTGATGGCCACATAAGGTGCACAAGATCGCCACATTACCAAACCCAACAGTTGATTTTCAGCTTCTCCTTGGCTCTCCTCAGAGATGATGGCCCTTCCTGAAGTATTTTCCACTCAGTTTCCATACACCTACTGGCACATCTGTTAGGGTGTTCTTCAGAATATACCCAGACAGTGACTGCCTCCATTTTCCTGGCCCAAAACATCTGGGACTCAGAACACCCCACAAGGGTCTCCTTGCTTCCACTCTTGCCCCTGGACAGCTTGTCCTCCCCTTGTCATCCAGCGGATTTACAGATACATACAAATCACATTGTGCTCCTTCTCTTTCAGCTCTCCAGTAGCTTTTCACTTTTGCCCTTTATTCTAAAACCTGGCCTTTGGATCCTGCATAACGTGTCCCTAACCTGCTCTACCTTGACTACACAGCCTAGGAGCACTCACCCTCCTGTACCATGCCCACCTCAAGGCCTTTCCCAGTCTCTCCAAACCTGGAACTGGCTGCACACTATAACTGCATGGCTCACTCCTCTTACTTCTGAGTCACACTGAAATTGCCTGGTAGTGCACTTGGTGCGGAAACTTAAAATAATACTTGAAAGAGCAACTTGTACCTAGGTGTGCATTGGTGTTAGGCTGATTTTGAGTTTAATTACACCCTGGATAAACCTCACTGGCTATGATACTACCCTCGCACAAAGCTTGAGTTGGTTTGATTTGAGAGCTCATCTACAAACTAGAAAAAGTAAGCGGGAAGACCTGGGGGCTTTACTTTTAAGTCCAAAGTTACTAAAATGGATAGTAACTTTTTATAATGGAAACTTTACTTTCAACTCAAAAACTACCTCTTTCTTCCAAGACACAGGCATTGTAGAATAAGATCATGAAGTAGTAAGATCTACAGACAGAATGCACAGGGGTGGACCAGAGTCAGGCTGACATCATTTAAGTGGCCTGGTGCTAGCCTCCCACCTCCTGAACAAGTGGGAGGCCACAGCAGAAACCACCATCCCTTCCTCTCAGCCTTCCTCTGCTCCCTGAGACTCTGAGACAAAAGCCACCTGCCCACAGATACTGCATATTTAAGAAAGAGTGAGAATCCCACTGGACACACCTGTTTCACACACTTACTTCTCAATGATTAAATTTTAAAATCATTTAAACATCTATTCCAGAGATCTTCATTTGAGATCTCTACAAATAAATAATTTCATCAGGCAAAAAAAATATTAGACACACACATTCATACAAGCAAGGAAAATTACTTTTTTTTACTAGGTGCTTCTTACCTGACTAAAAATGAGTGAAATCCCTGCACATTTTGCCCTAAAATGCAGATAAAAGGAATCAGTTGCAGAAAACCTTTTGGGTACAATAAAATTAAACAGTTAGTGAAAATGACATACTTTGCGGGGTATCTATTGGCTGCATTTTCTCCGTGCTTTCCTATTTTTATACAATCTCTTAAAGGAATCTGGATAAAATCAAGAAAGAATATTATAAAAATAAGCAAAGGTAAAATGTACACAAAAACAGGAATGTTTCTGCTCAGATTTATAATTTGTTTACCTTCATAATGGGCTGGGATATTGCATCTGGTTCAAAAATCACTGATTTTGAACATATTTTTAAGGAGCCTCTGATTTTCCTACAAATCAAAGCAGAACATAACAGTCAAAAAAGAATCATGATATCCTTTAACTAGAAAGTTGGTTACCAAGGCTAATAAAAACTCAACCACTCAATTAGAAAGAAGGGTATGACAGGAAGGAAAAAACAATTTCCTCTTATCTCTACCTCCCTAAAGGATAGAGAAATCTGCATACATTATAATATTATTTTGATTTGTTGGGCTTTGGACTACAAATTCTACATTTATTACCTTATTTGGTCTTCAGAATTACTCTAGGGAAGAGGTAATTTTTTTCCCTTTTTTTTTTTTTTTTTTTGGTACTGGGAATCAAACTTTTGACCTCGCGATTGCTGGGCAGGCGCTGTGCTGCCGAGCTACAAATCAGTCATTGCATTTCTTTCTTTTTTGTTTTTTTCTTTTGGTAGCAGGAATAAAACTCAGAAACTTGCACTTGTCAGGCAGGCATTTGTGCCACTGGGCTGTATTCCTGGCCCTTCAGAATTACTCTATAGGGGAAACTTACGTCTAGAAAAGATAATGAACGCTGAATTTATCATGTCTCTGATAAATTACGTTGGCTGTGAATTCTCTGTATGTGGAAGAATTATTCATTAAGCACTGTGAAATTTCTAAAATTGATTAGGTAGAGATCAGAAAAGTTTTAAAGTTTGAGTTTAGAACACAAAATACTTTTAGCAGTGATGCGGGTATGGAGAAATTCAGGAAAAATCTGCCACACAATAAGCAGTTTTAGGGACTATCTGGCTCCTGCTATAATATCTAATAAATCAATTACAGACTATCATTTTCATACTTTCTTGCAACATTTATGTCTTCAATATCTTGTGAAAAGAAACATTCTTGACCATTCTAGAGTCAGTTGTTAGTTTTAGCCAGTATGCATCACCTGTCTGAAGCTAATAAAAATCTATATGCTGTACTTTTTTTTATTGATTAGGTGACTTTCATCAATGATCAAACCAAGACAACAGCTTATTAGACACACAGAAAGTACATTAGGAGACACCAGAATAATACTATAAAAAAAAGTCACTCTAAGATCAGTTTCTCGGAGTACACTTACACTAAAAGCAGCAGTTTCCAAGTACCAGGTTCTTTAAAGTCTCTTCAGTGACATTTGAATTTTTCTATAGCCATCCTTTGGTGTCCCAGTGAACCCTCTTAGTTTGTTCATCCCAGGGCTCTGCCCTGCCTCAAATGAAGCAACTGTAATCAGCCCTCAAATCCATTCATTCAGCCAATCTCTGATCCAAAATGTTTATAAACAATTCCAGGGAGTTCCAAAAAACAAGACTTGAACTTGCCATCTATCAAGTATGACACTGATTCCATGAAGTTATATGTAGTTATTGTATTAGGCTTCAAAGGTAATTTAGAGATGATTTAAAGTAGACAAGACGATATGTGTAGATGATAAGCAAACACTATGCCATTCTGTGTATGAGATGCAATGTCTGAGGATTTGGGAATCTACAGGGTGGGCATGGGGGGCATGAATAAATCTCCAGGAGATACAAAAAAAATTATATATCTGAATCTCTCTATAATTTATGAAGTTTATTGCTTGAAAACTTAAGGTACCCCAAAAAACCACCACATTAAGAAGCCCACCCAGTCTTACAGTCTGAGAAGGCCTCTCCCTTGACCCGCTCTCCTGAGTAACGCTTTCTATCTTCAAGATACATGTACTAAATACATATGTACTAAATGGATGACAAGGCTCATCATACTGAAAGTCCTGATTCAGTGTATAATTCTTCCTTGAAGGGTTTTAGAAATTTTGTATCATTTACTCACGTTAAGTGAATTTACTTTTTTAACAGTCACACTTACCCAATAGTAACTTAAAAACATAATCTTGGGTTGTGGCTATTACTCAATGGTAAGACACTTGCCTAGCATGTGTGAGACACTGGATTCAATCCCAACTGTCCCCCCCCAAAAAAAAAAACCACTTATGAAATTTCTAAACACATACAGAGAGACTCAGAATGTCCACCATACCAACTGTCTAGCTTCAGCAACTGTCATTCTTGTTTCATGGATAAGTGTCCCGGAACCCTGCTGGATTGCTATGGTATTGGCTGGACTGGTATGGGTAGATAAGTGCCTCCAAAAGGCCCATATTTCAAAGGCTTGGTCCCCAGCCCAACACCAGTAGAAGGTGGCATACTGAGAAGCCTTGAAGTCACTGGGGGTGTGCCCCGATAGGGATGGTGGGACCCCAGGTCCTTTTTCACACTGTCACTTCCCAGCCAAGAGGTGAGTAGTTTTGTTCCTGCCATGACGTGTCACCACAAGTGTAAAAGCAACAGGACCAGCCACCCATGGATGGAAACCTCCAAAACTTGACCATTGAGCCAAAATAAACCTTATCACTTTCTTTATGTGGATTATCTCAGGTACTTGCTATAGCACAGAAAGCTGACTAACACGTGGACTATACACAAAGTTACTGACAACATGCCCACCATTCATAAATATTTGAGAATGAGTCAATCACAGAGTGCTCTCTTAAGAAATGGCCTATCATTACCACATCTAAAAGTTGGGGCTGGAGATATCCTTCAATGGTAGAGCACGTGCTTGGCATGCACAAAAGGCCCTTTTTCCATCCCCAGGACCAAAACAGTACTATAAATAATAATTTAATGTCATCAAGTATACAGTGTTTCATTTTTTTCTACTTTATAAATGTGTTTTCATGCTATAATCACAATCCAAAGTCCATATTACAATGAGTTGCTATGTCGGGTGTGGTGGCACACGCCTGTAATCCCAGCACTTGGGAGGCTAAGGAAGGAGGATCTGTGTGAGTTCAAGGCCAGCCTATGCTACAAAGTGCATTCAAGGCCACTGTGAACTGCACAGCAAGACCCTGTTTCAAAAAGAAAAAAAAAAAGACCAAAAAGCTTAAAAAAAAATTAAAAATTAAAAAAATAAAATTAGTTGGTAGGTGCCTCATATCCCTTACTAAAAAATAATTTTCCCATACCATGAATTTTGCTGAATCAACTGTATTTCTGTACCCACATACTTCCTTAAAATTATCACCAAGTGGCTGGGGCTAGGTAGGTCAGTGGTATAGCACCTGCCTGGCAAGTGCAAGGTCATAAATTTGATTCCTGGTACCGAAAAAAAAATTATCAGCAAGATTAAGACTTGATCAGATTCTGGTTTGATCTTCTGACAGAAATACTTCCAAGGAAAGGCACATGTGTTGTCTTCCCATCAGCAGGCACCAGAGGAGTCGGGTGATATCAATCTTCCTACATGCATATAAAACTTTTCGGCAGCTTCTTACCTAATGGTTTTAACCCTGAAGATGACTGTTCAGATTAAAGGTTGGAAAATTCTTTCTGTGAAGAGCCAATTAGTATCTTTGGTTTTGCAGGCCAAGTGGTATCTGTGACAACTATTCATCTCTCTTGTTGTAGGGGGAAGTCAGTCATGCAAACAAATGGGTGTGGCTAAGTTTTCAACAACCCTTTTTTTAGTTTATTAGTACGTGTCTGTAGTACAGATTATTTATGTTCCTTGTGGGAAGCAGGCCCCTGTACGGAACACATCTTAATTCTTCTTTCCAATGTCCTTTCCTTCTCTCCCCCCTCCACTCTTCCTTTGATCCCTTTCCCTTTTTTTGGACATATGTTTGCAGTACATAATGATTACATACGTTGTGTGGAGTTCGTATATGTATGCAACACATCTTAATTCCTTTTTTCATCCCTTTTCCCTTCCTTCTATCTCTTGATGTCCTTCTCATTTAAGGAAGATCTATCTCCCTACTTCCTATTGTCTACCTGTTATTTTGCTCTTTATTTATAATTTGAGTTTCTCATAGAGGAGGAACCATGTGATTTATAAGCTTATGTATCTGATTTATTTCACAACATTATGATCTCAAGGTGCATCCATTTGATAATGTTCTTTTTAAAACTTATTTCTTCCTGTAATTGAACAAATGTATTCTGATAACATATACACTTTGTAGTGTGTTTTACACTTTAACTTGTTTGGAATTTAAATGTGACAAATTAATCCAATTTACTGTAAGCACTTCATTATCAATAAAACTTTACTGACAAAAACAAATGGCAGGTCAGATTTTGCCAAAAGGCTGTAGCATGCTGAGCCCTATTGTAGATCCATTATTTTGCTAGAGATTAAAATTGTACCCTTCCTTCTATATTGATTAGCTAGAATTTGTCAATAAAGAAGAACTGTACTTATCAGCAATTTGATGACCCTAAAGTATAATTTTTACAAGGAAAACAAAAAACTTCAATAACCACTTTTGTACACTGCTTCAAAAGGTAAGATTCAAAGGAACAACCTTTTTATTATAGCAACTAGTAATCACAACACAGGAAGAAATCAAGTTTTACCTCAAATTCAAAACTGCATTATTTATTCATTTTGAACATACTGATTTCATACCAGTCTTGTGACTTATTATTACTGTATAACACCACAACCCTAATGATTGAGAACACAGTACACTGCGTAACAACCAAAGGGATAAAAGAACAGAAAAGTGAGATAGATCAGAGGCTTTCCAGCAATCTTAGAGGTCTTAAAACAAACCCCGTAACAGCAACTTATAAACCCACTCTTCCTCTTACTTTCCTAGTAAGAAAAAAGAAGAAAGCCCTATTAAGCCGGCATTTCAATGTAAAACTGTCAGAGAGGTTTGTTAGTGGGTAAAACTCCAAAAGCTCTCTTACCTTTCATTAATGCTGCCCCTGTGCTGAATATGATTAGCTGTATGCTGTTCAAAGTAGTATTCCTCTAAGTTAAGCAGCAACAAGGAAAACCTAGATTTGGGGGAGAAAAAAAAAAAAAACATTTTCTTTTAGTTTTTTTTTTGTTTGTTTGTTTTTTGTTTTTTTTTGTTTTTCTCCGGTACCGGGAACCGAACTCACGACCTTGCGCTTGCCAGGCAGGCGCTTTTGCCGCTGAGCTAAATCCCCAGCCCCTTCTTTTAGTTTTTAGAAAGTATAAGCAGACCCAGTATTCAAAATGTTTGATCTCAAAGTTCTTTCCCATTCATCAATTTAAGCAGCACTGTGAAGCACATGCCTGCCACGTGCCACGCACCTTCCCTATATGTTCAATGGGAGAGGAAGTACACTGACTGCCTGCCCTGGGGATCAAATAACCACCACACCAAACTGAAATGATTCACCAAGTGGATGAATAATTCCTTTACAGAAACCCCACGTTCATGAAATTTAACTTCTTCGCTAAAAATGCTTGGTGCTCTCCCAACTGTGGAATTTTTTTCATCTGTTTCCCCTGATTGAACACTCCACACTTTCCCACCCCTTCCCTGTCAGCCTCCTGTGTCCTGATGATTTGGATTCATCTTGTTACTCCTAAAAGAACCATGCACCTCTAGGAGGCAGGTCCTTAGATAACGCAACCATTGCTTTCTACACAATGGTGTTTAACAAGTAAAACCGGTAAGTGGAATGGGTTGGATTATAATTTATTAGGTTTTAAGAGCTTTACACTTTTTTTTTTTTTTTTTTTTGGTTTTTCTCTGGTACCGGGAACCGAACTCACGACCTTGCACTTGCCAGGCAGGCGCTTTTGCCGCTGAGCTAAATCCCCAGCCCTACACTTTTATTAAGGCAGTAACACATACACAAAAAAAGCTCAGTTGTATGTCCACAGAAACAAATATATGGCAAATAAGTGAAAGTAAGTGTATTGCTTTTTGGAACTCCCTGTATTGTTTATTTCATGGTAAGGACCACGAAACATATGGCATCTAGAGTTATGAGGGAAAAACTCTCATCAAAAATATAGAACTTGGCTGGGCATGGTGGCATATACTTGCAATCTCAGCACTTGGGAGGCTGAGGCAAGAGAATTGCCATGAGTTTGTAGTTAACCTGGGCTACATACTAAATTCAAGGCCAGCCTAGACTACAGCAAAACCCTGCCTCAAAGAAAACGAAACAACAAAACAAAACATACATGAGACTTGAAATGGGCCTTGAGGGTCTGGTGTCGGAGGACGGTTAAATGTGGTAGATTACATATATATGCTTTTTCTTCTGAGACAGGGTCTTGCTATGTAGTTTGGGGTGGACTTGAACTGGTGGCATCCTCCTGCCTCAGCCTCTGAAGCGCTGGGATTACAGCCATGCACCACTACACCCAGCTAAGTACTGTAGCTTATTTTGCTTCCTTCTGAAGGAATGGAAGGAACACCATTGTTCTGAAACACCACTGATATGTGAATAAAAGTATTTTTAAACTGTTAAAGCCCAAAGATCAAAGCAACTTGCACAGACATCAAAGCAAGGAAGAGGTGCAGGCAAATCTGTGGAAGATGGAAAGCAGACAGAAGGAATGTGCACAGCTTAGAAATGAGAATATCAGATGCCTCAGAGAAGGTAGGTGCCACTCAGGAAAACACCAACACAAATCACAGGGCTTCCAAAAAGTCCAGAAATGGCTGGTATCAGATATCAAGATGGCCCTTAAGTATGAAGTGACAGCCCAAGATCAGCAGCCTACAACACAAAAGAACAAGACCACAACAAGCAGTAAAATACAACCTGAAGGACTAGAGACAATGGAGAGAAAAGAAATAGTAAAAAGACTATACTTAATATCCTTATGAAGAAGAAAACTATATACATGACAGGAGAAAAGACTGCTCATTAGAACAACAAAAAAATCTGACCCAAAGAGTAATGACCCATAGCAAATTAAAATTAATGATAGTAAGACTCATTTTTAATATCCTAATAGGTAGCATTTATTGACTTGTCCTCCATTTTTTTAATCCATAAGCAAGAGTTAGTCATAGGTTGGGTTCAAAACCCAGTATCAAAAAAAAAGAAAAAGAATTAGTCATAGGTTAAACTGCCAGAGCACAATATAGAATAGTCAATATTTAATTTGAATTTCCATATAATTACAAGACTTAGGACTGTCAGGAATAGTTCTCTCATGTATCCGCTCATTTCCAGGAAGGTGAAAATCAGAGAGATACTCACTAATTGCCTTACCCCTTAATTTTAACTTGTATTTGAACAACTGAAAACACTTTTCTTGGGCTGGAGCTGTGCAATCCTTCCTTTTTGCTGATCTCCCTACTCCACTCCTGCTTTCCCTCTAGAGAGGGAAAATAAATATTCTTCAATAAGAACATGTCATACTTTTACGCCTATGAAGCACAAGTCAAAATCATTAACAACTAGCTCTTCCAAATATTAAAATATACTCATCAATGTGAAGTAAAGTCATCATTTTGGTAAACAAATTAATTCTAGCCTCATAAACTTATCAGTATGCACTTTCTGTAAGAAATGTACAATACATAGAAGAGACATAAGCACATCACACTGTTCACAATTAATGAATTAAAGAACTTTTCTGAGTCTTGTTTTTCTTTTAACTTTAAAGTTTAGTTATATCTGCTTTAAAACTTTTTTCTATGTAAAAATTATCATATTAAATTTTGTGGGTTTTACAAACTATTATATGGAGTAAAAGAGTCTATGCTTTAAAAAAATAAAATAAATTTTCCAGTTTCATGGTTTCACCGTCAGTATTGTATCAGGCTGTAAATTCTTTCTTTAGGAAGCTGTTAGCCCTGGGCCTACATATTCCTAGTTCAAGCCTATCTTTATGAAATTGGGTGGTAATTCTTTTTAGGGTAAATTTACTCACAGAACAAGTCAACTTCACTAAAAAGATGTTATCCTCTCTTTATGTCCCCTGAATTTCAAAGCGTATTTATATGCCTAATTAACTGACAATATTAAGATAGCTCTACTCCAGGTATCCCTTAGTGATAACTGCATTTACAGCCATTCAAAAATTACTCAACGTTCTGTTGATGAGTAGCATGAGTAGTAGGCTTAGAAGGCTTTACTAGTGAATCTTGTCTCTAGGCTATAGATGTAAAAAAGACTTAGGGGTATTAGGAGGAATGTGGGAGGTGCTGTAATGTCCTAGTAATGTGCACAGGGCCAAGAGACAGGGTACTGTCCATAAGTGCAATGCATCTGTCAGCTATACTCTGAATACCTCAACACTATGTTTTGACAACACTGGACTATTAGTGGACCACCTGAGGGTTTATTTAGCCACACTGGACTTCTGTTTTTCTAATAGCCTCTGAAAATGGTTTCTGAAATGAAGAAATGAAGAAAACTGGGGGAAATAGGGCAAAAGTACAATCCTGTGACCACTCCCTGCAACTGGAAATGCCTATCTAGTAATACAGGTCAACAGTGATCTCTGAAGAGAAGAGCAGGGCCAGAAAGTGTGAGACATTTCCTCACCCAGCGTAAGAGTCACAGATGACACTGTTATATCAAAAGATAGGTTAACAAGAGGAAAATACAACAAATTTGTTTAGTCAAAGTTTGATGAAACACAGGAGCCTAAATACAAACACATGAAGACCAGAAAACTATTTATACACTTAGGTTCCATGACAAATGGACAGTTCTGCAGACATGGGATTGGACAAATGGGTAACTAACTGAGGGGGAACCTGCAAGGCCCAGCCAGTGCGATCTCCTGGATCTCTCTGGGTAGAAGTCCTTCCTGGTATGGGCAGGTCCCCCCTGAAATGAAGGTCCTCAAGAAAGAGGGAAAAGGGAAAGCAACCTTCCTAGGCTCCCTTCAGGGGAGGAGTTTTACTTTCTACTCTTACCCTGAGGAATAATTCTGGTTTTTGTGACTCATTCTGGGGGACAAAGAGGCCAAAGAAAGAAGGGCAGGACAGGGTCAGAGCTTTGCTTTTGATGCTTTCCAGCCTTGTTAGAGAACTCCACACGGCAAAGTGCCATGCTTTGGGGCATCATTCTCAGAACCCCAACACAGTCATTCAAACATCATTCCAGGGCTGGGGATTTAGCTCAGCGGCAAAAGCACCTGCCTGGCAAGTGCAAGGTCGTGAGTTCGGTTCCCGGTACCAGAGAAAAACAAAAAAAAAAAAACCTCAAAACAAACATCATTCCAGCCAACTATACCAATATTAACTCTCCTTTCTTAATTCTGCTAGTAAGACACCACAAAAACAAACCTCACTGTCTGCCAAAGTCCAGTCAGAACGCTTGGCAACAGTGGTGAGAGTAACACGACGCAACCTCACCCTGAGCTTATGCAGGTCACTGATGACAGCTTCCTACTTTGTGGTTTATAATCTCCTCTGCAGTTAGCACTAAATACATCTGAGCACATATGTTTGTTTATCAGCTTTCAAAGTCCTAACACTCAAACAGTGTTGTGGTTCTACACTCAAACTTTCCCAGGGTTTTATGCTAGGAAACACAAGCATGTTGGTGTCCTCTGCATCTTCACACATCTTATGAAAGTGCACCCTGGGGCTGGGGATTTACCTCAGTGGCACAGTGCCTGCCTGGCAAGCGCAAGGTCATGAGTTCGATTCCTGGTACCGGAAAAAAAAAAAAAAGAAAGTGCACCCTATCACTTTCAGTCTGATGGTCAAATGTTACAAGCAGAGTACAAAACAGGAGGCACTGTCTTGGTTATAAATCTATGTTATACAACCAAGTTAGGCCCTAGGTAGCTGCTAAGTACTTCCTCTTTTCAAACAACTTTAGAAGATTGTTCCTGTTTTTTTAAATACAAAGCATTTTTTAAGGCCTCCACTCTCATGGGGATTTAATCCTTTAAGGTACTTGTATATAATGTTTTTGCTTCATATTTTAAAAATCATAGGCACAGAGGAATTTATTTGTTTGCCTGATCTATACATCTTGAGAAAACTAATTTGGATTGTGATTTCTATATTATATTTTTGACATCCAGGCATGGTGGT